CCGCCCCCACTCCCCCCACCGACCCCACCGCACCGCCGCCGCGGACGTAACTACTGTCCCTGGAAACATACAGCAACTGGTTAGTCATCATCATTAGAACAAAGATGTTCCACCTCGGAGGTAGGGGTACGATAACACTTAGCAATAGCTTGAGGATCGCTGTTAAGCCAAAGAGAATGCGGTGCAAGTCCTGTAGTTATATTCGCAGTTTTAGTCGAAAATAATACAAGCGATTTGTGCCATCGACCGTTTACTCGATGGTTATCAATCGGCAGCAGTAACACCAGAGTAATTACAAGTGTATTGCCGGCCTTTTGGAAATTTGGGGATTGGGCTCATCCAGGGGGAGGATTAAGACTCCGATAACCTTACTTACACGACACACAAAGTTGCAAAAAATTGCAACTGCATCCTACACTATATTTGTCACTAAAACCTCTACGACTCCTTTCTAAGGTCTTTAATTTCTTTTTAAACTGTCAAACACCAAGCGGTCACCGGTGACCGCAACCTATTGTTCTATAATTGTGTCTACAAAACCGGTACTCGACGAGTTAATCAACATAAACTCTTTATATTTACTATCTCTCTAGTAAAATTTGTTGCATTCCGTAATTATTCTAACGACACTGAACAGCGGTTACAATAACAGCTGTTGTCACACCTTGTGTTGCCTGGCAAGCGTAAAGAGGGGTTCTTTACAAGGGGAGAGATCAAGAAATGGACTAGTAATCATACATACACTATAGAAGTGCTCCACAGTCCCCTAGGACAATGGGATAAGCCAATAACTATAGAACAAGTTACCGCAAGAATTTCTTTAAGCTCGATGTATCTAATTCTTGTAGATAACATAATTATTTCTGCCTAGAATTTCAAAGGAGGTTTTACAACTAATTTGTGATTCGTTAACTATAAATAATTTACGAAAAAAATGGCACTTTCCCCATATTTCAGAATGGAATTATGGAACCCTTTAAATATGAACGACGCAATTTAAAGGACGCAGGTAGCGATAAAAAAATGTGTTTCGATGTAACGATGACTGCATTTACAATCTACATGTCCCATTTTTCGCGTGTCTGCTTTCGTGTGGTAATAATACCTCCTTGTTGGGATGCCTTTAAATGTCAACCGTCAACGACCTCAATCCGAAATTATTTCACGCTGAGCTCAACAGATGGCAGGCGTCACGCCATTTTTAGACTCCATCGCCTTTCATAGCCAGTCATGAATATTTTTATATCATTATGTATTAGTTTTTGTAGTCGTTACGGCTATACTCACATGTAAATGTTAGTTGCCTGAATTATTTCTCAGTTAGTCGCCTGCCCAAAAATATGGACGCAGTTTCACCATTTCAGTAATTGCTACCATCTAGGTACCAATTACACGCTTACAGTCGAATTACAAATAACTATAAAATGGCTCACTATTATTAATAGGTACCTGTTACATGTTGGTATAAAATAGTTAAAATATTTTGTAAATTATCGTTGGAGCGTTTGACATTGTCTGTTAATTTGACAGTCATTATTTTTAAACTATCGGACAAAGATCAATGGTCGTATAAGTTTACAGCCTTGATAAAAACTTTAAATAAAAATTATAACACATTATTTGGGTCAACAGCTTGGGTACTGGATAAGAAATCGTTGTTTATCTGATAATAAAATCTTCAACAATTCAAATATTAACAACTAAAGAATCCGTGTCAAAACAACAATAATAAAAATATGCGAACACGTATTTAAAACAGATGAATTCTTATAAACTTTCACCTTAACAAGAGATGACGTAATAAACATGGCGAGTTGTGAAAATAATGTGTATTGTTAGTAATCCTCGTCCGATCGCATGCCGCGACGAGAAGGCCAAGGTTGGCCGCGGGGGGGCGTTGTGATGTAGCCGTGGCAGGGTCGCGCCGATGCCGATACACAAATACGATTCATTATTTTACCATGTGACTTCTTAGGTCTTTACTTTGTAACTATTTTTATTTTCTATAGCTGTACTTAATGTGCATAGTTATAACGACACACTAGCGCCATTGATGGGTCATTATCCACTATCATTTAACACGTGTTGTAGGGGTCACATTTAATACTTATTATGTTTTTATTATTCAAAAACATCAAGTAATTTGAATCATTAGTTACTAAATGGAATTTCCACTCATAATTTGATACTGTACTTCAATTAAATGCCTATTCGACGATATAACTAAACGTTGGGTTTTTGCATGAAAACGTGGCAATAGGTACTTATAAGATATGTACTAAAATGCTTTTAAGACTCCTGATAATGTAATTGAAAATGAACTTGAACTAGTTTTATCGCAAAGATTAAACAAACGATAAGGAATGTATAGCTCTCGTGTTCCCAATACGTGGGCAACTGGCTCTACATAACCAGTTAGCATTTGATCAAAGGATTTGCGCAAATCGTTTATTTAGATTACAACACAAACGCTGGAGAATATTCTAGGTCTTAAACTTTGCCGTATTTAATCTAGAAACCAGATCTTAGTGTCGGAATTTGTGCACTTGATCGCATTATTTTAAATTAGAGGAATTCTAGTGGAATGCTTCCTTATTTTATTTAACCGTGCTACAAAAAAAAAAGTAAGCTAAGGTAGCATTAGTTCAACATAACATAACATTAGCTTAACTTCTATAGAGAGGTATAGACAGACAGTATGACGTAACCATGATGGCGATACGCGACAATACGGCCGAGTCTGTATTTAGCGCGCCACGTTGGGCACCACGTGGTGGCCGGGCCGCGACGCGCGCTGAATAATAATAAAAAATAAACATTGAACCGAACGCGCCCGCCAACAGGGCTGCCAACATCACGAGAATGTCACGTATTCCAAATGACGATACGACTTTGTACTCTACACATACATAAATACAGGTAGCTATGGAGTGCAGGTTCCAATGACTCGCCCCGAGGTTTCTTCTCATTCTATCAAAAACATATTTATTTTATACGCATGTTGTTTGTATCGCATATTTATCCGGTTATCACATTATTAAACGTAGACCTGCACAAGGTTAGTCCTGATAAGGAATACTAGCTAATATTTGAAACACTTACTTGTTCGAATTCTAAGTTGTCATTCGAGATTAACATTTATAATGTAATCTAATGAGAGATACGACAAAAACTGATACACGAGTACCTTTGTACTAACTTTTATCACATGAGTAATGTAGCCGTAGGAAATAACGCATTAAGTTGTCAAATCATACCGCTGTAATTGTGCAATTTGTACGAAAATAATAACAGACGAAGAATTTTTCCGTCGGAGATTACATGGCAACACTGTGTACGGTCGGGGCCGTGTGCCGTGTACCCTACGCTACTAAAATGGCAATAAAATTAAGCAGAAACAATAAATTTATTAAAAAACACACACACACGTGCTTGGCGACGACCACAGTCGACTTGACGAAGGTGATTGAGCTCGACTATCGCGTGATGTTATTTTTACAGTTTCGCGAACGAAAAAATGGCAGGAGGTGGCTATGAAAATTCTCACGGTTTTATTGTTTAAATTGGAAGAATCGATGAAACACTCACATGTTTTATTGCTCAGGTCGTTAAAACGATAATTTATTATGAATTTATACAAATTAATCATCGGCACACATATGAGGTGTCATGTTGATCCTATTTTCAATATAGCTGGGCAAATAACAGATGTAATTCCTGTTAAAACATGTGTCATTCGCTTCATCGTTATGAGGTTATATTTTACCGTAAACCAATGGGCACAGTGCAATTTTTTTTACATTTGTGTTTTAGTTTTGTAGTTATCTATCCGATTTACATCAGCAAAATAAAATACCAAAAATAAAATGGAGCAGTTCAAAACACCGCACAACACAAGCCAAAAAGTAAGTTAGCAGACTTATTTTTTTCTGCATGACTAATGCAGGTGGTATTGCTAAAAATACAGCCGGGTAAAACGAAATGCATCGAATGATACTCGTTGGCTGTCGGGGCTATTTCTAACACCTTTCATAACAGGCGGGTTGGACCCGCTCCAGACATTTGTTTTCAAAAATAATCAACAACAAAACCTACTTTTGACAGATCAACTGCTGGCTACTTCCAAAAAATAAAGTTACCTACATACTGCTTAATTTTGAGTTTGACGTTATAGGCAAAGAGTTATAGTATTTTTTTTTAAGGGGGGAAAATCATTGAATGACTGCTCCCGCCTGGTTGAGGCGGGAGGGAGTGTCAGACTCTTACTGACTAAAAACCACCCCGTTCCTTCTCCTGCACGTCGAGTAGGAGCCCCGGTTACCTGTTAGGTTCTCCGCGACAAGAGTTATAGTATAGGGGTTATAGGTATTTCAAGGTGACAATGCCATTAAATAGGTTTTCTTAATTTCATAAAATATTTTTAAATCATTGATCAATTTATTCTTATTCAAATGTTTGCAAAAACTTTAAAGTAAACGCTTATTCATACATCATAGTCATGCACGGCAGAAAAGTAAATATAAATTATAGAAAGAAAAAAAGTGGGTTTTTCTTTTCACAAACATCTATGCAAATGGGGAATGCTAATATGGAGGATTAAGACGAAATTAAGCTTTATTCTTTAGTCGCTACTTAATCAGATTATTACAGAACGAAGTATTTTACAAAATAAAACAATCATTCTTGTTCGCACGGTGAAACCAGAATCCGCTTTCTTGTAATGAGGAATAATGCACCTCATTATTGTGGTGTTTTAGCTTATTTTTGCTTGAAGAAATCTCAATTATTAAGAGTATGTATTGTGCAAAAACATTGTAATCGCTTCCCATGGCGGGTATTGTTGCCAGACAGGCATTACATCTCGGAACACTGCACTAACCTCAGGGTTGTTGCACGAAGACTTAAATATGGACGCCGATCTTACTTTGAATTTGCCTCCATTATTTGTAACTGTACGAGTACCAGCATAAAAGCACAGTATCTACATTTGCGCTTCTCTCAGTGTATAGTAGTATAGTCGTATAATAACCAGGTCATCATCTTAATGAACTTAAACCCATATAGATCATTTCGTGACAAAGATCTATCTTCAAGACAAGATAAAGAACTGTATTTGTTGTGTGTATATTATTATGAATATTTATAAATAGCTGGTTATGTAACCGCAAACCATCATCTTCAGTTCAAGGCCCAACTATAGCAAACTAAATTATATAACTTAATATTTAAATTAAAACATTTTTGATGTAAAAAGTTACGTTGAATTTTAACGATTCGTATAATAATTACATGAAATTTTTATCTTACGGAGCGCAGAACATAAATTAGGTCTGACGTCATGCTATTTATAAGAGATGATGGAGAAAAAAATATATAATACATAAAAAACATTGCTGATGTTTTCGTAAATTACCGCGTTCGGCGTAGTACGCCCGCGGCGTGGGACGTTAGGGGATGCTTATAAAATAATGTTATGAAAATATTTACAAAGGACTTTGTTATTGGACAACCCTAGGCGGTACAATAGTTTTGTTTCCTTATCTCAGCACAATGCTGGGTTCACATTGTTTTGTCTATGGTATAATCGGTGTAAAAGTAGCGAGACAACCCTTGAATAAAGAAAAATAATGGCATAATTATCTGGAGATAATACCTGGGTTCATGGCACACGTTTAGTTTTAGTGATAGGTGTAATCACAGAAATATTAATCTTCATTATTTATTATATCTAATAATGTAAGTTTAACACGGCTGACAACATCGTGCACCTTGCAAGACTACAAACAACGATATTATTTTTACGTCTAGTAACACTGAACCAAAACTGTAATGTTCAAAATGGTGCCTCCGTATTTCTAGAAAATATATTAAAGAATACTGGTTTCCTCAGCGAACGTGAAGCAATTACTTTAAGCCTGTCCAGTAATTTAGATTTTACTGCATCTGTCATTAGAGAAGACTATTCAGTTAAGTTTAATGCTTCGTATAATGAAAATAAGTTTATGAAAAATAATTAAAACGCAGCACTATAATATAGGCCATAAAACTTTATAATTATAAATTTCTAGATGTTGCCCACGACTTCATCCACGTAGAATATGATTCCTGTTTTATTCCACGGGAGCATTTAATCGGGATAAAAGTATCCGATCACATAAGTCAGCCCATACCCTGCCTGTACATCTTTAAAAAAATCCATTCAGTAGTTTTAGCGTGATTGACGAACAAATATCCAAACATCCAGATGCTTACTAGTTAGTATGAATGGACATTTTCAAACACATATCCGCAAATAAATGTCGATATTTTATTTTCCAAAAATATACAGTTTATTTTTAAAACGCAATAACTAGTTATCGGTTGTTAATCACGGCACGTTGTTACGGATTTCGTTGGAAACCAATGACAGATAATATAAAGTTCACATAGATAAACAAACTACGTTTCTTGTATGTGTTTTTAAACAAAATTCCGTATCGAAAGATATCTGGTACATTTCTTGCAATGTTAGTGACACATGGCTTTACTCACGTAGTGATTTCGCCACATTTCGTAATATCAGTTTTCTTTTGAAGTCTTCAATTACTTTGACACGCTTTAGTAAAAATGCTTACGTGCAAAAATAACTCCGTATGCAAAAATATCTCTTTCTATATTATAGTAAGTAGGTAAGCGCTTACTTATCATTATGTATTCAACAAATCTTATCGTAACTTATTGAATGCTTTATTTCAATTTAATACTAATAAATAAACGTGTAATTTATGACGTAAACAAACTATGACGTCAGCTTACTACTTTGAGTACAAAACGTTTTTCTTTGACATTTTGTAAAGCAATCACATCGAATAACGAGAACGGTTAATAACTGGTTATTAACTAATTTCATTAACTATATTTATAGTATACTATTATCTATGGTTTCTTTCTATGACTTGAACCTTTGAACTCACAAAGAGTAATGTTTCCCATGCTAGCTTGCAGGTAATGGTTATGAATGACAACAAGGACATTAGGTATTCGCAACGGGACCGCACGTGACGACCCCTCACTCCCCCGCCGCCTAGACGTGACCAGACCATTAATATGTCCTTGGATACGAAAAGTTACGAGAATTCTAGCTCTCTAGTGGTAGTTTCGCCAATTTATTTACTAGATTCTCCAGTGGACAACTACATACATATTCATGAACTAAATAATAATAGTAAACGCAAAAAAAACACAAATATTTTTTACTTGGCAACATTTTAGACAAATGTCAAAACAAAGAAAATTTATGATGTAGGTATAATAAAAAAAGTATTCCACAAAACAAGTTTCAATTACCAAGAACGATATTACTAAAGAAACCTAGACCCAGATGAAGCTAGGAAAATTAAACAATACAGTAAATATCTAAGTCTTTGCACGCGTATAGATGGCAGACCTAGGTCTGTGACCAGACTTACTGACTGAGCGACATGACGCGGGTCACGTCCGCGGTCCGCCCAAGAAGTAAGAAAGCTAGCATGATACAATATGACGAAATGGAAATATTTTAAACCTGTTTTTGTTTAAACAATGAAATAATAACTTTTTTTTATTTAGCCGACAATTTCCTTCCTTACTTTTTTTAAATTTTAACCTTCTGGGAATCCCCGAAACGGTTAATGTTGTATAGCATTTCATTTCCATGTTCTCTTTAGGATGGACCTATTTAACAAACACGTAAAGCATTAATGAAAGTAGTTTACTTTTGTAAAACCATATTTGGGGCATGTGATCATAAAGTAAGCCTTTTAAAAGATGGGTCCAACCCTTTGAAGTATTAAGTATGTTAATGAATCATACTCGCTAGGGTTTTAACGGAATACATTACTATTTGGATGCTGTACATCTCAACCCTCGAGAACCCCTTTTATTTTGCAAATCGCTCCATTCAAAAAATACCTCACGGAGCAAAGTATGCTGCAATGAAACAGAATGAGAATAACGACCTTCTTTATTCAGTTTTTTCAAAAGAAACGAGTGAATTGAATGAAATTTTTATTTCAACTTTTTCAACTTGGTCTGCGTCAGAAAAGAACGTAACACAAAGAAGTAGCCATCGTTCTTAAAATTACGTGTTTCGCAATTCTGAAAGCTGAAGACGTGTGGGCAAAAACACTGATACGTGATTATCCAAAAACTATCTGGCCGGTCAGAAAATTAAACCACGTGGCGTATTGAGACTATTTTCAGGTTAAACATTCTGCCTACTTCATGAAACCGTTCAATATCTTAAAATAACGAACATCTAGATGGCGACACTTACGTATATGGGTATTGACAATATTCGGTTGAATGTTAATTCGATTATTATGTGGCAATACTTCCTCTTTCCGTCCAAAGACTGGTTCAAATGAAGGTTTAGTAGTTTACAGCGGTTCTTCATTAATTAAACATAAATTATTATAAGCGTTTCGTGTTTTATGAAAGAGAGCCCAATGAAGTTAGTTAAAAGTACTTCACTTCAATAAATTGTGGTTTAATATCACAGACACGTTGAAACTAGGTCGTAATAAGACTCTCATGTTCGAAGGTAACAATTCAATCAATTCAAATAACGCTAACAGGTTGAACGTACTACCAATTTAGAACGCTCACAACTTGTTAACGGCTCGAAAATAGGCGTCATAGTTAACTCGTTTACTTTACTGTTCAACGAAGACGGTAGCCTATCAAGGTATTCGAAACTGCCAAAATACTTTAATACACTTTCATCTTTATTGACTTGTTGTAAAGTTGAAAGCCTATTGACAGTTTGGTATAGTACCTCTATAATGTGCTGGTCTGTTTAAGTTGCTTCCGTTGTTTTAAGAGCTGATTGCATCAAACTCATTAGTACCTTTACGTTTTTATGGTCTGTAAACATTTTTAAGATACTTCCCTGTTTCGAAACGATTTCTTAATTATTTCTATTAGTTCTCTTGTAATACTTCGGGGAAGTTCCGAGCTTTTCTTGGTTGATATTATTTTGGCATAAGTATATACATATAAAAGTTTATCATCCAAGTAATCCCTAAGTGCGTCCTTAGTCCTTACTGGTAATGTGCTCATCAATCAGCCTGCCAAGCTCAGATTAAGGGAATATATCCCAGGATCGTTAGTTCGCAGTTAATCTATTGGGAGGTCATCGTCCACTATAGGAGATGAGAGTCGCGTGTTCTGCGCTGAATGCGATCGTGAAACAGCAAAAATATTTAAATGTTGTAAAACATCATGAGATAGATGGTTATTTTCATCTGCTAAATCTTTAAATGGATTATGGATGGTTCTACAGGAATTTTAGAGCAACATTATGTTGAGTAGAAGTTATTTCTAAAAGAAATTGGAAATAATGGACGTGGTAATGCCATGTGCAATCATTTACAAATCCATAGCAACTGTTAACGGCATTTTTTGTAACAGAAAATGGAATTTGTGGTTTTCCTTTCTACACGTTTGCGGTTGTTCATATAAATGAGGCCCACCTGTATGATAATGGCGCTGATCCATATCCTGGCTGGTGCAGGCGCAGCTGTGCTGGGGCGTAAGGTTGTGGGGCATAGGGTGCTGCGGGAGGTGGTCTGGGTTGCGGCGGCGCCACCACACCCCCCGCCGCCGGCTTCCCGCCGTACGCCAGCGCGCCGCCGCCGTGCCCGTGATCCGTTTGCCCGGGCCTGAAACAACACGAAAACAAACATAAATCTACAAGAACAGAAAACAAAAATAAATAGTTACATTGGCATTGAAAACAGAAAAACCATGGTAGACTTGGAATATTGTGGCTAAAAATAGTCAAGAAAGACCTAAACGCCGATGGACGTCCTAAATACATGATTTGTTGAGGCCAGACCAACATGACAAGCTAAACAACAGGTCTCAAACATGTCTTTTTAGAACTGCAGCTGTTGAATCTTAAGGCTATGTCAAGAGAAATCGGTGACGATTCATATTGACATGAGTAATTCACACAAAGAAACAGCGTGATTGATCAACAATGTTGGCACTGGGGTTCAGTGCCCAGGGTGCGCCAGGTACGCACATAAATATTGTTACACGACGAGCTTGCTTACGTGCATCCAGCGTGAAATCTGTCGTAAGAAGGCTAATTTCAAGCTACCGAAAGAAAGTTCAATAAGTGGTAAACCTACACTTAGTGAAAATGACCAGGAACAGTGAATCAATCAACCACTAGCACTTTGTCTGCTGATCGGTTTTTTGTGAGTGAAAACGAAATACAATAGGAAACGTTGAAATAGAACCACAAGACACCAGACACCGGCAGACGGCGAACGAGACCTTTCGCTCTCACGCATTTCACTCTCGTCTTTGTAAAAAAACTTCAATAACTTTACAAAACAGTAAATAAAATAATGACTTTAACGTATCTAAATTACAAAATAGCCATAAACAACGTTCCGTTACGTGTTTAATAGTAATAAATAATAATAATGTGACCGATATCCGTTCGCGAATAAACATGACGCATGGGTCAATCACCCAGGCTCGGGATGGCGGGCACGCCGGATACGCACAAAAAACGCTCGATTAACACATTAATTCTATTTAAAAGTTGGTTTAGATTTCATACGGATTTACGCATCGTGTGATTCATGGGACGCAGTATAGAATGCAGTGTTTCCATCCTGTAGCAAGAGACATCGTCATTCCGTAAATAATTCCCTGTTTGACCTTGAATGAGGTCAGGAGACGTCCTATTTTAGCTTCCGATCGCTCGAACGGTATCTTCCCGTTGAGTTATATACGTCATTAGTAAATCAATTCAGTATTAAATGGGCTACACAAGGAGCTCCAACCATGACGTTCAAATTTTAAATTCATGGATCCGTTACCTCTATCCTCATCTATTCTGACGTTTATGGTGTTCAATGGTGATTATAAAAAGTTCTCACATCGTTCCGCTCACTGTAGTGATGATCATTAGTCTCCTGGCCTGGCCTCCTCCATAATGACACCATACATCTATGTTTATCGGTAAAAGTCACGCAGTAGTTATTGGAATAAATATTTATGCGTTAACTACCCAAATATTATGAACAGTCAACGACAAATCGATGTCAATGATTCGGTGAAAGGTATTCACGGAAGTTCAGTCCTTATTTCTACCTGTAATAAGACTCGTATTGACAAAGATTGGTCAAGGCGTTATTTATTGTTTTAAGGATTGATTGTTCGGAAGTGAATATTTGTGTACCGAGGTTAAGTTCCGTAAAAGTATAATACTGAAAGTCATTTTTTGTTGTTGACTGTGTTGCCAAGTGTGAAACTCTGTTATTTCTGGCCCAACATCCAGGAAGGTTCTTATGCTTAAGGAAGGCAATTAAACAATGAAGAAGACAAACATAAATAGCCTTAACACGGCGTGTTCATAGTTCATACCATTTGCACAATACAGGAGTCCACAAGATAGTACAATGAGTTGCATACCTATTGCACGCAATGCTGAACTGTTTCGGAAACAATAGCTCATGTGTCACTGTCGGTTAAGTTTACCTGCAATACATACTAGGAAGACCTATCGTAAATCTTCAGATTGTAAGGTGTTATTGCCAAATGTATCGTATACTTCTTTAAATTGAGTTTTATACTATTTGAGATAGTCTTCGAATACAAGAAGATCGTCGAGTGGTTTCAAAATTTTCGGTTCGCTAATTTTGTTATTGTATCACGTTGAATCATTAGTATGGGTATGAAAATTCTACCTTTATTAGCCAAATCTACAGAAAGAAGGTTATGAAGGCTGATCGTAAGTATTAAACTGTCAAACACCAAGCGGTGACCGGTGACCGCAACCTATTGTTCTATAATTGTGTCTATAATGACCGTACTCGACGAGTTAAGATGAATACTACCACACAGCAGAAAAATAAATCGTACAAATATGAGAGCATTGAAGATCTGCGTTTTTATTTAAAAGGTCAAGTTTAAGACGTTTATTTCTGTACTGATATCAAAGAGTTTTTATAATCTAAACAATACTAAAATGTAGTCGGAATAAAACAAAGTTTTCCAATTTCTTGTAAACATAGTTGCGTGATAAAGATGGCTACACAAAACGAGTTATGTTAATAAACCAAACACGGAAAATAATTAACCTATTTTGTGTTTTATGGGTAGGTAAGTAATTAAGAATGTAAAAAAAAATTTAAATCTATCTACAGAATAAAAAGGTTTAAATAATTCTCTTTCCATTTTGCTGTCGACAAAAATAGGTCGTTCTGATTGGTAGGTAGTGTGGAAGCATCCTGACATAATTTATTTTCATGAAAACGAATTAACATAAAAATAACATTACAGCCGACATAATCTAAATAAACTCTATAAATACTACAGTTCGAGGCTGAGTTATTGACTGACAGACAACGCAAAACTACATAATTATAATAATCAAAATAGTTATTTAGTGTTGAGGCTAAAATAGGAGGAACATACTATGAAGAAACTTGTGTAAGGAAAACCAGTCGTTGACAAATACATGTAGGTATTTATAGGAAGGAACTTCAGGAAATATAGAGCTGCTAGGACCTGAACCTCAGTCACATACAACACACATAGATCTTCATTTACATTAACTTAAATCATAGGTCAAGTGTACTTCAAAATGTTTAAGGGGCTACCCATTTCTCTGGAAAACCTGAAGCTCTCAAGCTGTTATCTCCAACCGGCTTATCAAACATTGATATTATCGCTTATAAATATAACCTATGGACCTTCTAAATGCAGGTCTATAGTCCAGCAGTGGAGCCCTGTCCTACTGATAATGATGATGTTCATAATGAATCAATTCGAGCCCAAAAAGTAAGAAATATCCACAACTTTACCTATATAGGTATATATATTATGTAAAATTGGAGTATCTATTTGTTATATCGAAATAACCGCTTTTTACTACATGCATATTAATATACATACGATACCTAGACCAAAATAACATTGTTTAAATTTTTTGTCTCCCTATTTGTACTGGTTAATCTCTGAAATGGCTACTTTTACTTTTACTGGCAGGTAGCTGATGTACTAAGGAGTAACAACAGAAAACAAAAGAAAATTTATGTCTTATACTTATACTAGCGACCCACCCCGGCTTCGCACGAGTGCAATATGCATGTATTATACATATAAACCTTGCTTAAGAATCACTCTATCTATTATAAAAACCGCATCAAAATCCGTTGCGTAGTTTTAAAGATCCAAGCATACATAGGGACAAACAGACGGTGGATAGTGACTTCGTTTTATACTATGTAGTGATTCTACGCGGACTAAGTCGCAGGCAACAGCTATGAAACTAAATGATTTACATGGGCCTATTTATATCCATGAAACCTTGTCTACAATACCAGTCGAATAACATAGCCTAACTAGACATTGGTTTTATTACAAAAGATAATACATTATTCCGTATCACCAGTTCAGAATGTCTTTTTACTTTTTCATCCTTTTTTTTCTAATTCCGTAACCAATTGTTGTTTGTAGAAACGATTGTTTTGCGTGCTAGCTAAACCGAATTCAATGTTCGGATGTAGGACAATGTCACCATAGCCCATAAGACTGTTATTTATGACGTAAGTTGTTGTAATTCGTGGTATACAAAAATATACGGTTTCGTCGCGATTTAGTATCTAAAGTTGTATGGATGTGTGGCCAATTGTTATCCTTATTTAATGAGTAATAAAATCTGTTTTGGTGTCGACTTAGATTGGTTATTTTAGTTTTATGTTTCATGCAAGGTTGTTCGTTGTAGAATGTCTGATAACGACGCAGAAGATGTTTTTTCTAAGTCTAAAGCAAACGTCCTTTAGGAAACGCAATGGTTCACATTCTACAGAATAAACAAGAATTTAAAAACAGAAACAGAAAACCATCTTTAATTTAGGTAACAAAATAAAAGAATTGCGTTTTAAAAACTAAAAGATCACACATCGCTTGAGAACAATTGACAATCGTAGCTGCTAATACAGAACAACACATCAAGCCACTCTCCCGTCAAAAATCTTCAATACATTTTAAACCTTAAGTCAAAATGGTTACAGTGGCAAATCTATTAAAGCCTAGAGTAGCTTTACCTGCTGTTGCAACAGTCATGCATAGCCTGAATAAATAAGTGCTTACAATGTAGAATGCAGATGAGCAGAAATACGGACAGATGTCCGCGATGATTCACCGGTTGTGTGGTAGGGAACCAGGTGACTGACTCATGCACCTTACGGGCCTCGGATGCGACGACAAATAAATGGCAATTGAGATAACCTGTATCATTATTTTAACATTTATTCGTATTTTCCTTGAGGTTTTAATAAGTTACAATTCTTTTCCTATGGTTAAAGATCTTGATAATGTAATAGTTTACCATTCTTTTTACATCATAGATTGTGCGAGGATTTAAGACGCCCGCTTCTCATGGATGAGCGTGCGCGTTCAAAACCTACCACCATCAGCAAGTACCAACGACTATTCCCGAGTCATATGTACTTTCTAAGATTATTTAGACACCACTAACAAACGGTGGAGAAAAGCATCGTGAGAAAACCTAAGCTTATACATAATTTCTAATTATAAGTTTGAAATTGCCAACCCGTATTGAGCAAGCGTGGTGATTAATGTTCAAACCTTCTCCGTGTGAAGGCCTTTGATCAGCAGTGGCCAGTTATAGGCT